CCTGAGTGTCCAGGGGCCTGGAGAGAAGACTGCACTTCCCACAGAAGGGGGGTCAARGGTCACATCATCCCATTGAGAATCAGAAGGAAGGATGGCCCCAAAGCCTGAGAGAGCCTGGGTGGGTGGGGGAGGCAGACATCGACACTRCCCTTTCTGCCCTTTTTCCAGAAATGTGGAGAGGGGTCTCGCAGCAGGGGGAAGACTGGACCCACGTGGGCAGCCCTCCATTGAGGAGGTGCGTTCCACCCMCTGGGTAGACACTGGGGCCCAGCACCCACCAGGTCCTCGGCTGGCTGCCTTCCAAGCGGATCGCAAAGGTCCCGGCACTGCCAATAGGTCTATTGTTTCTGAACAGGACTCATTTCTGAGCTCTATTAATCCTATTAGTCCTCAGAGGAATCATTAATAGAATCTCCTTAATCTGATTCTGGATGATCCAAAACCTTGGAAAGTTAAAAAAAAAGTAGAATCCATCTCTACTAACACCAGATTTTACTCAGGTCCCTAAAGAATGCAAGTTAACATGCTGCTTCAAAAAGGGACCARAGAGGTTGGGGTTGTAGCTCAGCGGTAGAGTGCTTGCCTCACATGTGTGAGGCACTGGGTTCAATTCTTAGAACCACATAAAAATAAATAAAATCAAGATAGATATAATATAAGTTTATCTTTAAAAAAGGGGGGCTAGAGAATGTCTAGGACTCAACCCACCACAGAGAGCCCACGGTCTGGCCTTGAGGGGCCTGGCTTCTCCCTTCCGCTTCCCTCTTCCGATAAGTTATCATCTCGAAGTTGTCACCCTCACCATGGTGCCCGCAGCAGAGCTCTTTCCTGTTCAGCTGTGGTAAGTCAAAACCTACTTCAGAGAACACAGTCACCACTCTGAGGGGCTAAGAAAAGACAAGGGTTTTGTGTGTTTTTAGTTGTTTGAAAAAACAAAGAAAGAAAGAAGAAACCTCGAATGACTGAACCAGCAGCAGCCTTTTTTGTGTGAAACCTGTGTTCTGCTTTGGGGTTAGCTTTTCACAGAGGRGCAATGGCAGGTCCCACCTTCAAGGAACAAAGGTCCTGGGTTTCTGACATTCCCTAYGTTCTGTGTTTCAAACGAGTGGTTAACACCTCTTCCCTGGAACCAGTRCTGAAAGCACAGTAAGCTATAATCCTACCTTCAGAGATCCCMAAGGTACCCTAGTGCAGCTGAGGCTTGGAGAGATCATGGGCCAGTGGTGTCACCATTAGCTGATGGCACCAAGTCATCTCAGGGTGCCCAGCTCCATCCCCACTGCCTCTTGCTGTGATACAAGGTACTATTATCTAGAAGGTACCATTGACCAAAAAAATCATACATCTACCAGAAAACGTCCCATGACCCGGCAACTGGCACACTTGATGGCTGAAGTCAAAACACGAGGGAAAAGACAAGGGGGATTTCATCATGGTGGCTGGAAATGCGGATCAGCAGCCAAGGTCAGGGCAAAACCTCTCTGTCTCCATGAGATGTCAGGAACCTCATCCTCCAGAGTAGATGAGTGAAGTTTTAGGAAGATTAGATGACACCTTCCAACCTGGAACTTTGGTTTTGTTCTTTAATTTATTCAACAAATACTTATTGACTATCTTCTAAATGATAGTTTTACTGAAGCAATGGTGATTTCCTTCAGCCCTCTCCTAACTAAACTCCTGGCACTGCCAGAAACCAGCTGAATCTTTCTTATTTTCCAGTGCTGTGAATTAGTATGATTTRGTATCTGTGACCTCCAACTCCCATTGGATAATCTCCTCAAAGCTGGATTATTCACATGCTCAGGAGATTGCATRAACATGGATTCCCCAACTCCTAAATCATACACATCCAAAGCTGAGAGACCCATGCCTTATAATTAAGGTTATTTAGTCAACAAATGTTTATTGAATGCTTAATATGTACCAGGTACTGGGTGAAGTGATTGGGATAGAGGAATAACAAGGGAGAAAAGGCTCCGCTTTGGGAATTTCCATTCCAACAATGGAATWTTGGAAAGAGAATAGGCCCGAGTTAGGAGGATCTGAGAGAAGATGACACTGGAATTCCCTGTGAAAAACCCAGGCAGAGCGGCCTGGAGAAGGCAGTGGAGGCCGTGTGGTGTCCCACCTGCTCAGCTGTCTGTATCTACCTGGGAAATGGGAGGGAGACGGAGGGGAAAGACAGGTTCAGGTGCAGATTCATTCTGTTTGGTCTGGGTTGGGTGGTCTGTTCTGAAAGGGCTGCTTTAACACGAGTACTTGCTGTTAGAAATGATTTCCTAGATGGGGCTGGTCTGGGGGTTAGGGGACAGAGAAAGAGATTGTAAGTGGCCAAGAAGGAAAGAGGAAATGYGAGCCTAGTGGCAAATGGATGGCTCTCTTCCTGCAACCAGACCAAAGGAAGAGGGGGTGTCGATGCAGATGGAATTGAGTTTTGTGTGGAAGGAAGGTTAAGTGGTGGGAGGTGGGGATGTGGCTGATGATGCAAGAGGGAAAATATGACAGAAATGACYCAAAGAACAAAAGCCCATCTCACTAGGGAACCGAAGAAACGGTGCTGGCCGTGCTGAAGGGCCACTGGAGACCTGTGACCATGAATGTAAAGCAGTGGCTTTCAACCAAGGCTAACTGTCCTCCTCTCACCCCCAGGGGACAATGTCTGGAGGTAGTTTTGGGTTGTCACATGTTGGGTGGGCAGATGGGGGATGCTCCTGGCTTCGATCGAGCGTCGGGCAGGGATGCGGCTAAGCACGGCACAACTCCCAGGATGGCCCTCAGCACAAAGGATTGCCCGCCGTGGGATATCAGCAGAGCCCAAACTGAGAAACTCCRACATAAAGTGGTGTCAGGGTTATGTCCGCACCATCTCTGGAGGGCTGCACAAGGAGACGGCGATCTTCTATGAAAGTAGAAATGGGGCCGCAGGACAGAATGAGAAGAAGACTCTCATCCTATATCCTTGCGTTTTCTTTTAAAATTTGTACATGTACACGTTGCCTATTCAAGTCAATCGAAAGATAGAAATAAGTCAGTGAGAAGTCAATAATGGATGGGCTGACTTAAATATACAATCAATAAAAACAAGATCAGCCATCCGGTTTGGGCAGTTTTTCTCCAGCAACCTGTGGCTGCTGATATGTCAATGGAAAGAAATGGATCCTTATGAGCAGAACACAAGGGAAGAAGGAATCGTTCTGGAATTAAGAGTCTTTCCAAGGCACTGATTCTAATGGACGGATGATGGAACTGGGCAGAGAGGGAAGTGAAGCTGGGGAAGGACCTGATGGACACATTAGGGAAAAGATACAGTTTATTGATTAGAGATCTCAGTATTTTAAGAATATTTTAGAAAAGAAAATGTTGGAGTAATTGAACTAGAACAATATGTGATGATGTTGTGAACAGAAGACACCAAAAACCAAAATCCAGAGGAGGAATTTTCAGTGATAACAAGGGAAAGGCCATGATTGCGAGTAGCTGAAGAAAACAGCAAAAGGTCCTTGTTGTGAGGAGTGGGAGGACACAAGTGACCAGGTGTCTGGAGGCACCGCCCCAAAAGAGCTTCTTCCCGAGAAGAAAGCACTTCTGAAAGAGAGTTTGTGAGCAATCTTGGGTACCATTTCTTGATGTCCTACAGCATGTCAGATACTTTGTGCACATATTAGCTCTTTTTGGCCCAAGAAAGTTCTAGTGATCTGTCTAGAGCCTGTGAAGTCAGTAGGTGGAAGAACAAAGATTCAAATTCTGTTTTTTTAGTTCAAAGTCTGTGCCCTTTCCACCAGACCATGGCTCTGCCCCAGGAAGACACCTCGTCATCAAGTATCTAGAAAGCTGGGCAAGCTTAGCACCAGCAATTACATTGATAATGGAAACTCTGGTTCACAGAGGACAGAGACAGAAAAAGAGAGAAGAGCCTGGCACAGATGAAAGGATTTGCAGCACAGTTCTTCTCACCTTAAAAAATTCTCCTTAATGTGATCTGAAGTCACAATGAAGAAACCATAGATTAAAAAAAAAAAAAAAAACTAACAAGCAAAAAACCCAAATCTTGGTGATTTCCAAAACTTACGCTCACAATACTTTTGTAGATGCTAAAGTGGAGCTTTTATTACATGTCAACCATTCATTAAAAATGCAAAAAAATAAATATTGGTTATATTAAAGGAAAATGGCATCAAGAGCTGAATGTTGGTGGGTGACAAAAATTTTTGAAGACTATTACACTTGGTTGCCAAGAAGCATTCAAAACAGTTTTCCCTAAATACATACTTCATGATCTCACATTTGCTCTATGTATGTGACTCTTTAGACTGATTCACACTCTGTCTGTCTCTCTCTCTCTCWCACACACACACACACTCACTCTCTCTCTCTCTCTCTCTTTCTCTCTCTCTCTCTCTCTCTCCCCCTTAAAATTGCACTAGAGATGCATATGGTGTAGGAGTGGACCAAGTCCCCCAAACACTCTTTCGCTTCTTTGATAGCATGGCCTGGTAGCCCAGGATATGCATTTAGAAGTAAAGATGCCACCAATGGGGTGCTGACCTCCTTGGATCTCTTTAGCTTATCTCTTTAGCCTGGTTCTCCTTCCCCATCCCTGTCCATCCCTGTTATAACCATGGATCTGAAGACAGCTTTCCCTGAGGTAGCAAAGAGACCCACCCTGGGAGTTGGGTTCGAAGGTGTCCTCCTTTTCCACGTAAGTTGTTCTTGGCCACTTAACATGGGTCTAGAACTCCAGGCAGCGGCTTCTCTGTGTCCTGCACCTTTGCGTGGCAGCCCAAAGCTCTGGGTTCTTCAGCCATATTCCTCTTCCTCTCTGGCTCATGGACCTTGGGTGAGATGAGGAACTGCAGACCTGCTGGACTCTGTGGTCTCAAGGTCTTTGTGGTTATGTCTTTGCACTCGAACTCAATAGGCGTAAGAAGACCTTCATTCAGGCCAATGTCCCCAGTGCCTATAACAAGGAACCACAGGGAGAGAATCCTCAAGTGCTTTTCTTAGAGCTTATATAAGCCAAAAAATGTCTTAGATTCCTCAAAATTGACCAGAGAGAGCTCAGATACGTTGACATATAAATGGTCATTACTGGTGAAGTTGAACACAGCCCCCAGATAGCTGCTGCGGGCCCACATCTGGCCAGTAGTGCAGTAGTTCATCATCTTGCCCTCCATCAGCACCAGGTCCTGGGGATACTTAGAGTTCTTCATGTAGACCTTGTGGCTCAGGGGCTGGTTGTTGCAGGACTGACCCCGGAAGTATATTTTGGAATACACAAAGTACAGCCCAGTGTCATTGATCACAAGGCCACCCTTCTGATACTTCACTCCGGAGATCAGGGAGATTCCGTAGGTGTCTTCCCATTCCAGCGGGCTGGACCTTGAGTTGGGCTTACCTGAAGTCAATCAGAGAGGAGCCGTCAGCAAGGAAAGCTCACACAGCCGACAAGCTAACTTCCCAGGCAAAACTACGGGCCTTTCCTTCCACAAATGTTCTATCCAGAGTAAGGTAGCTCCCTCCGAACGGGCCGAGGGGTCAGAACGTGGCCCATCACTGAATTCTCTTTGTCAAATTGCCTGTATCAATCTTGTCATCTACACAATAGGGACAGTAACAAATGCCCCCAGCCGACTGCAGTAAAAATCACTGGGATAATTTTAGCTCTCTAAAACACAGATTTTCTGATCTTCAGAACTAGAAGCAACACTGCTAAGCTTTGTGATCCCTCCCTGAAAGGAGAAGCCAAATCCGGGGAATTTAAAGAAGACATGGGTAGGACCTAAGGGATCCTTGCTCCATCTTCTCACCACAGCCAGGATTCTTCCACCTCTCTATTTGGGCTGAAATTCTCTATCCCTCACACCTCCCTCCTATGTCCAAACCTTAATCAGAGAACTCGCTCCAGTACTGAACTTCAGGCTGTGTGCCTGTTCTCCCCTATGAGATGTCAAGCTCCTTTGGAGGCAGGAACCATGAGCCCTCTGTCTCCATGCCCTCAAAGCTTGGCACCCAGCAGGTACTCCTGAAGTGTTTGCTGGTCTACCTGAGTCAACCTACAGCCTCTGCCTGAGAAACTGCAGAAGCAGTGGCACAGCACACGACTTGTGTGACCTTTGTCTACTTCTCCTGTATTTGTGGCTTCCAGTAGGAGAGCCCATCCCATCCCGACAGCCACCACTTCACCGCCCATTGTGATCCCACACTGAAGCCCCAGGGCCAGGGCTGAGGCTGCCTCTCGCTCCTGTTTCTCCTCTGGAAGCAGAATGAAACTTCCAGAAAATCAGAGAAGCACTAAAATAATTCACCACTCACTCCCTACTCTTCTCTGTGGCAGGAACCCCTCGGGGTCTTTGAAATGTTTGAAAAGAGTGGGCTCCCTCGGGTCTCATTCACTCCACAGCTCCAGTCTAGCACTYGCCCAGAGCAGGGGCATGCGACTGACCCCCTAGAAAGCTGTTTCTTGGGTTCCAAATACCGTTGCTGGAAAGCGCTTGTCCCCAGAACTGGTCACGGAAACCATTCTGCGCTTTGCCAAAGGCTTTCCCAGCCCCCACCCGGGGCTTGCAGACACAGACCTGTTAAATGGGCCGCTCTCCTCAGTGCCTTTTTATCAGAGGGTGAACTGGGGTGGCCTGTATCACAGAGAGACAAAAGACGTACGTAAAAATGAGATGCCAGCTACTACCATGGTGGGACTCAATCCCATTTGAATAAAAGATTTTAAAAGCATAGGTGGCGATATTCTGAGAGATTCTCAACAACAGTCTGTGTTTCAGAAACAGGTGGAACAAAGTAAGCCAAATTGAAATAGACACATATGTTCATTGTAATGTTACACTGTGCATAAAACTGTTGTCTCAGTTACTTCCTTTAGAACTTCCCATAGTATTGGAGGTAGGGATTGTTGTCCTGACTTATGGTTGACAAAGTGAGCTTGGAAAATGGATGACTCAGCATTCAGAGTCACCGATGGGACCAATGCCCAGTCTCCTGCTCTAATCCAGGGCTCTGTCCACTCTGGCTGTGCAGCCCCAGGGACACAGAAAAGAAGACTGCTAATGTGTCTCCTGGCTACCAGGTCTCTTCCTACTGGCACTGTACAATCTGCACCCACATTAGTCATTCTAAGTCCTCAGCCACCCATGTCACTGAGACCTCAGACACCTCTGTGGCCCCACGTGATTTCAGCCTCACTTCCTCCTGCTCACTCCCACTGGACACTGCCCCTGGTCCTCCGCCTGGGCCTGCACTCACGCTGTGCTGTCTGCCTGGATGCTGTCCCAGAGAGATTTCTGTGCCAAACTTCAATCCATTCTCTAAGCTCCATCGAAAATGTCTCCTTCTTGGGGAAACCTTCCCAGATTTAAAGTCAACTATGTTCTTTCTCTCCTTTGAAACCTCAGACCCCTCCGTTTTTACTTCTCCTGTCAGTTCTGACTCCCCTTTTCTAAGGAGATGTCCCCCATCAATTGCATTGAAAAATTTTGAGATAAATTTAGCTCTCTGAAACAAAGATCTTATGATCTTTAAAACTTGAAAGTTTTAAACTTGGTTGTCCCTCCCTGAAAGGAAAAGCCAAATCCAAGAAATTCTAAAGTTGGATAGGACCTTAGGGATCCTTGCTTAATGTAAAAATTGTCTTATTTCTCCCCCCCCCCTCAAATAAACAGCGAGTTCCTCACTATATGCTGACTTCATCAGAGTGAGTTCAGCCTGGTTCCTAACACRAAGCGTGCGCTCAGCAAATGCTCAGCATATTAAATCAAAGGAGTTGAAACTGATAATATTTTCCTAACCAGACACCGTTTCTCCGACCTTTAATACGTTAGCCAAGGTAGAAAGCTGTCACTTAGCTAATTAACTCAGCTAACTAAGACCTTCAGGAACGACTCACAGGAAAGATACCTGTCCATCTCAGGCTAGTGATCAGCCTGTGAAAGTCCCCCAGGTGTGATAACGGCCCTRTCCCCTGTGAACGTTACCTGAGCAGTCGTGACCTCTTAGCACCCAAGACAAACCACCTGGAGGGAAGTGTGAGTGAGCAGGAAAGGCAAGACTGAGTTTCCTCTACATTCCCATACCACAGCCATCCGGGCAGCTCTGCTGGCACGTGGCCACAGACTAACAGGAAATGGAACCGAAAACCACATGTTCGCATCATGATATCCTTCAGAGCCTAGTGTAACACTCTCCTCATACACGGTACTCACTCTAAACATCTGCTGGATAAATATTAGAAAGGCATCCTAGACCGTGGTGGGGACTCCTTCCTGCACCAGGGCTTTCTACCTGCCGCTGGAAGCACCTACTGGCTTGCTCCTGTGTACCTTCCATGCATACTGGCAGAAACTAAAATTTAAGCAGGTCTTTTCCTCTTATGTCTTTCTTTGCATGTTTTATATCTCTTATTAGTAAAGTTACTAATTTGATTTCCATATGATCATTCACCAATTTCTGGTCCACCTGGGTAGATGTAGAGAAGATAATTCTTTACTGCGGTTGGTAGACCTGACTCATCTTTTCATTTGACTTCAAAACACTAAAATAACTCCATGAAGTGGGTGAAAAATGAATAATTAGGTGCYCATCTCACAAGCCACATTCCACTGATTTTCAAAGTGATTGTACTTTAGAAATCCTCCCAGAGGCTTCCGTGTTCTATTAGTGCCCCCGGCTTGTGTACATCTGGGCTCTCTAACACTTAGGAACTTGGACACAGAACTTAGGCCCAGACATCCCAAAGATGCGGAGCTGCCCTGGGTCAACGGCAGTAGGCACATTCTGAGTCTCCACCAGCTGCACTGAAGATGGCCAGGGTTTGCTGTTGCCAGGAAACTTTCTACTAAGTTTCTAAGGATAAGATTCGCCTATCATCTTCGCGGCGGTATCCTGCTTGGCATCTTTTCCCCGTTCCAAGGCTATTACAGAGACGGGAGTTGCTCTATTTTATGAGGCACCAGACCATGTCCTAGAAGGACCTACAGGTGACAAGCCATCAGGAGACTTTCATCGAGCCCCAGTTCCATGCTGATAGTCTTGGGCATATTATCTAATTCATCTGTTGTTTCTCTTCTAAAAAATAAGATATCTGGACCAGGGAAGCGCCCTTCTAATTCAAACCAAGTCTAAAACTTCAGTGAATCTGTGTTTATGACAAATGAAGAATACCCTAAATTTTATCTCTCTACAGCTTCCTAAACTCTGCCCTGAAATCTCCCGAGGTCAGGGTTTCGCGTATCTTCTTCTTCCTGTCCCAGATCTGGGCAAAGGGTTCTCCTTTGTTGTCAAAGGCAGTTCATGAGTCTTCTGTGGGTGAAGCTGAACTTCCCTTGAGGAACAGCTGAAGTGTACCCTTGGGTCCCCAATGACTTCCAAAGAACCCCTACTGTGGGCAACTGATGGTCCACTTTTTGAAATCTTTGTCATGTCCTATTAAAATACTTTAAAATAAAGCTTAGCTCTAATCATTTCTAGAGAGTTTAAAAGAGTGGAGGACATTCCCCCCAAACATCTCCCTTTTCCTCCCACGGAGTCACAGCCACTAGCACCCGTCCCGGAACCAGGACACGTGAGAAAGGGCCAGGCCTGGGTCAGTGGTCTGGAGCTGGGGGCAAAGGCCCAGGTCTATTTCCCTTTTCAAAGCGAAGTGGAAGTTAGTTTGAATTATGAACAGTGCTCAGCTACCTGATTTTGAGCAAGTAAATTCACTCAATATTTTAAAATAGTTCAAGGAACCATATTGACCAGAGATTCAAAATTAGCCAGGATTCCTYTCATAGTATTCATAAACCTAAGAATGGGACAAAATTCAAGACATTCCACCAACTTTGTTCAGTTCTGAGGATCATCTTTGGGAACTCAGGGCTCTTGTATAAAAGGACTCACCTATTTGCTTCTCCAAAGATGGTTCTGTATTTCTTTGATTGATTGACTAGCAAAAGAGAAAGAGAAAAGTTGTGTAATTAGTTATCAAAGCAGAAGAGGCAGAATTGTCAACTAAAGCAAGTCCTAGAAAGATAATTCAGACACCTCAAACCCTTGCCTAACTTAGACTTCAGCCAAGCAATTGTGCCTCACTGTCCCTCAGTTTTGTGTTTTGGAATAGTACCGACATTTTAAAAATCTTTTCCAGGAAATTTAATTTGGTCTATGAGTCAATTCCTTCTAAGCCAGACTCCAAATTATTTCAACTCCTCGAATCACTAGTTATGAGGYGGTAAATGGCTCAACCGACTGGCTTGATAACTGAGAAAGGAAGGACTGTTTGCCTTTGATTCTTTACAAGAAAATATTCCCTTCCCTGGTGTGAGCCAACATTCCCTCGCGGACAGGAGGGTGACGACAGCCACTGGTTCGGAAGACAGGACAAGAAGGTCTGAGGAGCACCTCACAAGCAGGGCAGGGCTCCATCCACGTGGCTCACAGCTGCCGGCCACCCGCACTGCAGCAGAGCCGCCTTGCCCAGCGACTCCCGGGCACGGAAGCCCCCATACCAGCCTTACCTCGCGGAGTTCTGCCAGTTCCTTTTGCAGGTGGAAGAGCTGATACATTCCCAGGCCCAGTCCAACCAGGGCCACCAGCACCATAAAGAATATCACCAGGAGCCACAAGCCTGTGTTGTGGTCCCTGCTCTTCTTCAGAGGCGGTGGTGGCAGCGGGGGCAGCGGAGGCAGTGGTGGAGGTGGCGGTGGAGGTGGGGGCGGGGGCCTCCGTTGACCTGGCCTTCTGGGCACAGAGGGTGGACAGGCRAAAACTGACTCTGGAGGGGCCCAGGAGGAGCTGGCACTACTGTCCACCCAGTAGATCTGGGGATACGGGTAGTTCAAGGGCTGCTGCATGGCAGCCAGTGGCTSGGGTCAGCCGCAGGGAAGGGTTTGGCTTCTCTCAATCCTGCGGGAGGCTGAGGTGTCACGGTGGGGACTCCGGTTGCTGACTGCTCATGAGAAGGGAACGCAGCTGTCTTTATAGTGTTTCCATAACTGAGGGAAACACCTCTCTCTCTGTCTCTCTCTCTCTCTCTCTCTCATTCTCTTTCTGTTTCTCTTGAAAGACACCCACAATACAATAAATGCCTCTAAAAAGCCTCAAGAAGCTCAGAGTAAACCCCTGGAAGCTTCCGCCCACAAGTTTCTGATGCAACCCTTCAAAGCTCTGCTTGCTGTCAGCACCCAAAGAGCTGGGAGGCAGTGCTCACMGTGCTCTGGTCCAACAGAGCAGTCGGCACTGGGTGCAGCCCTGTGGGCATTAAGTGGGACCCAGCTGCAGAGAGACGGACCAGGGGGGCCAGACCCTGGAGTCACGGCCAGAGAAGCCACCTGCACATCCTACCTTTAGCATGAGGAAACCCCTGCCCCACTCCCCACACAGGCCTTTGGTTTCCCACACCCAAGTGTGATTTACCCTGACACTGCACATCATCATAACCGACAGGTGGACACCTGCCCTGTCCACTCCACAGACCAGCTCAGAGGTGGTCAGAGGTTGCAAACCAGCTGCCCATGGGCTTTGAGAAGCCTCAGAACTGCTTTGCTTACACTACACAATCTAATTCTTTCATTAGTCACCCACTTTTAAAACTGGTACTGTACACATTAAAAATATATGTTTCCATTCTGTTTTGAAATATTAGAATATTGAACACTCTCGAGGCTCTCTCTGCAAACCCAGTAAGCTACCCTAGGAATGAGACACAGTTGCTCCAGGTCACCCAGGGCCACACCACTACACCGCCTTCCCCATGCAGTCGCTGTTCTGGTCCCTGCAGGCATTTCTGCTCATAGTCCCTATTACAACTCCCAGATGAAATTCATGATGCCCAGTTAATTGAATTTCAGATAAATAATTTTTAGGACAAGAATATCCTGAACATTGCATGGAAATAGTAAAAAATATTCATTGTTTATCATAAATTCAAATTCAACGGTGTGTCCTCCAATTTCTTGCTTTTGACTGAAGCTGGCAACTCTACTTGGGTAAACCTTGCCCTTTCCTCTGGCCTCACATAACCTTTATATGCCAATAACTTCTAAGAACTCAGCTTTAGTTCCAACCATTCTCCCATAGAAACCACAAACCTCCTACAAATTCTTATTTTCTATTTTATTGGAGTGCTCTACTTTTCAAATTTGATCAGTTTTTATACCATCTGGGATTTCTATGTGCTCMTTCTGGCTTTCTCCACCTGCAGCATACCAACACAGGACATATTATTTCCCTGTGACGTTCTGCCCATCCCACCCCACTCCCAACACAACCCCCTTCTCTCGAGGTCACTCCCTCTGGTGACAACCCCAGCTCCCCTCTCTGCCTCTGCTCCAGCCTTTGGCTGGTGTCCCAGGACTGTTAAGGAGGTTCCCGTCACCCACCCACTCCCATCTTGCCAACCGCTGTGGCCTCTACTTCAGGCTGGGACGTCTCTGGTTTTCTAGGTGCAACTTCCACAAAAACTTCCAGGACTCTAAGAACAACGCTATATTTCTCATCTTCCTCTGCCCTGTGCCTCCTCCTGATTCATTCTGTGACAGTGTGGTGAGCCGTTTCTGTGTACTGTGGCCRCCATTACAAGATGGCGCTGATAAGCKCCGTGGCCTGTGATAAACAACTCCTTATTTTGGGAGAGTTGGCACGTAGCTGTAAAATACCCTATGAGAAAGATCCACGTGGCAGTTGTGCATTGGGGCTTTATCTGCTTTATTAGGGCTGGGGCACGTAGCAGTAGTAGTAGGAGTAGCAGTAGTAGTAGTAGTAGGAGTAGCATTAGAAGTAGGAGTAGCAGTAGGAGTAGGAGTAGCAGTAGTAGTAGTAGTAGGAGTAGCATTAGAAGTAGGAGTAGCAGTAGGAGTAGGAGTAGCAGTAGTAGTAGTAGTAGTAGCAGTAGTAGTAGGAAGTAGTAGTAGTAGGAGGAGTAGCAGTAGTAGTAGTAGTAGGAGTAGGAGTAGGAGTAGCAGTAGGAGTAGCAGTAGAAGTAGCAGTAGGAGTAGTAGTAGTAGAAGCTAGAAGACATGTCAAAATAAAGGCCTGAATAAACTGCTGAAGGAAGAATCCTGTGTCGTGTTTCCTTTGCTGGCGAGGGGACGCGGCATGACAGAGGAAGCAGAAGCCCATAGCTCCCAAGCAGGAGCTGAACAAAGTGAAGAACAAGCAAAGACAAAGAGGGCAACTTTAAACACTGGCATCAGGCTTGGTGATGCCAGCGAACGTCAYGTGTTGGCAAAATCCTAGAATCAACACCTGTACAAACAATAACGGGGCCCCATCAGCTTTTGGGGATACCTAAACCTTATTTATTAGGAGAAATAATTAAAGTATATCTTTAGCTCTGTGATTGCTGAATTCATAAGATTTGTCCTCAAGAGCTGGACTTAATAAATAAACCAAGTAATAAACCAACCAAGGCACCAACAGGCTGGCTCTGCCCACCACTTCCCACACCTGGGAAACTCAAACTGGGTTCTTCTCCCAGCCCTTTCCCCACTCTTATTTGCACCTGCATCTCTCATTGCAGAACCAGAGTTCCTTGAGGAAGGCAGGAGAAGGATTCAGAGCTGCCCATCTGTTTCAGGAGAAGGAGGAGGAGTCGGCTGACCAGTTGCAGACAGTCACAGGGAACAAATTTTAGTGTAGGACCAAATCAGATGGCCCTCCTTGTACGGGTTGTGATGATTTCCTAAGTACCTTTCACTAGATGAAAATTCAAATTGTTTTTCTTTCTTTCTTTTTTTTTTGAGGGAGTTTTTTAATATTCATTTTTTTTTTTTTTTTTTTTTTAGTTTTTTGGCGGATACAACATCTTTGTATGTGGTGCTGAGGATCAAACCAGGGCCGCACGCATGCCAGGCGAACATGCTACCGCTTGAGCCACATCCCCAGCCCTCAAATTGTTTTTCACTGTGGTTCTTCTAACATTGTACCTTTTCCTTCAGAAATTGTCCTAACCCTCTAGAAACAGGGTTGAAACATGCTCCCAAAGCTTTGTGTGAGTCACAGGGAGGCTGGAAGGTCAGAGCAGTGAAGAGAAAGGGCTGCTCTGTCTGTCTGTCCAGTCCTGCAGAAGCAGACCAGGGCTCCAGAGGTGACTGGGCTGTAGCAGAGTGGTCCATCCTCAGAGAGCCGCTGCTAACCCTCCCGGACCTAGAGAAGACTCCCAAGAGCAGCTGCCGAGTCAGTAGAAAGGCCAGGCCTTGCAGTTGTCTCAGAAGTGACCAAGGCCCCGGTGGGTGCTGAGCCCGAGTTCTTTCACTCGCAAACGTGAACCCACATATTTAATTTCACGAGGTCCCTCCAGACACTCATCTGCGTGGTCGGCCCCTAGGCACCAGCAGTTGCGTGAGGACTATCCTGTCCAGTCTTCCTTGGCTGCCTACTGTCCACCTTTCTAGTTTTTGCCAAGTGTCATGGCTACAAAGTCCTATCTCAAGGTCTCCTAAACTTCTTCTCTGCGGCTCCCTGTGAGTTTGAAAACCTGGCCATATATCTGTTGGACATTCCAGTTTCCCTTTTTTGAGGCTACTTCCAGTTCATACGCCATGCCCGTTTTAAAACTGGGGTTCTTTTCTCCTTCCTGCTGATTTGTGGAATCTCTCATACTTTGTATTTTAGATATAAATCCACAGTGACCTTCAGATACTGAAAACATCTTGTCCGTGCCATTGCCCATTTCCTCTTTAGGTCCCTCTGGAGTTTGCTCTTGTTCGGGAGATGAGCAGGAGTCCTTGTGTATGATTTTCCACGTATGAACCGGTTTTCCCAGCACAGCCCATCTTTCCTCTGCTGGATTCCTGTGGAGCACTTATCACACACCAAGATTCCTCTTATAGCTGAACCACTTTACGGACCCTTGTTTCTTCTGGTACCAGGAGCACATAGTTATAGCCTCCGCCTCTCCCCGATCCACGCGAGGGGAGGCAAGCCTCTTTGCTGGGAGCAGCGTGGCCTCTATTTCTAAGATGAGTGTGTTCAAGCTTCCAAGCGCAGTGATTGCTCCCTGTATTTAGCGTCCGATCATTTACCTGTTTTGAGATTCACTCTTGGGCACACCTGTGTGCACAATGTGAGTGTGATCACAAAATCAGGACGCTCAAGACCAGCCTGAGAGCAGCATCGCTGGTGAGAGCTGAGGGGCCGGCCTGCAGGGCAGCAGGTTGTGGGGGCACGGCTCAGACAACATCAGAAGGCTGGAAATGCTTGGCTCTTGTGGGCGGCCCTTTCTGATGCTTGAAATGCTTCACTGCAAAAACACATGTCACGGTGAGTATGTGGGAAAGCAGATCCACCCGGGCTGACTTAAATGTCAAAGTCGTTGCTTTTGTCACCCACTGTTTCCTTTGGTGCCTAGCATATGTTGGGGCATGCGGCTGGATGCCTCGAGAGACTTCCATTCCGGGGGTCCCATAAGAAGGCACCCTCTGAGTTTGAGGTGTGGCTTGCTGTCTGTCACAGACCTTGGGACCTCAGTTAGTGACTCAAGAGAGCCGTAGCTCTTGTGCTCTGCTGTTATTTCACAAGAAGATCTCTCCCYGGAGCCTTATTTGCCAGCCAGCTGCAGCTCTGCTGTGTTCCTCGGCTCGACCGCCACCACAGACTGTGGGCTGAGCAGCAGACTGCTTCCCTGCACTCATGGAGGGTCCAGTCTGAGATCAGGTGTCCGTGTGGTCGGTTCTCCCGAGGACTTCTCTCTGCGTGCTCGTGTGGTGGGTCTCTCTCTCTCTAAGGAAAGTAGGCCTCTGAGATTCAGACCCCACCCTCGGGATCTCACCTCTCCTTARTTTAATCACCTCCTAAAAGTTCTTTTTCCAGATACACCTTGAAAGTTAGGGCTTCCACCCATGAACCCGGGAGG